AAGCAACAAGGTTAAAAAGCAAGAGTAATAAAGTCAGGCATTAAGGTTAAAAAGCAAGAGTAATAAAGTCAGGAGTAAGGTCGGGACATTATACGTGATCTTACATGAAGTACACACCCAAACTTCGTTACGTACCTACTCCTCCCTCCACTTTGTCGCAATGTTTCCAGTATAGAGGGCTACTGGGTCGAGAAACAACAGGGCGCTAAGTTTCAAAATGGCGGCAACCACTAAAGCAACATGTGTGGAATCGAATTCTTCGTCGGAAAAGGACAGTTCATGCCTCGAGAAACAGGAGGAGAACGAGGGCAGACGCATGGTATTCTTTAGAAAAGTAATGAGGAAATGCTTAGACAAAATCATGGTTGCCGGAAGGTGAGTTCAAAAGACAAAATGAACACTGCAGTACTAGTTGAATCTGGACCGGTTTGTTGACTTTTCTTGTCATAAACGAGCGAATCAGTGACTCAGCTCATATATCACGGGTACCAATCCAAAACTTGTCAGCTAATTTCATTAGTTATTATCTTTTCTCTGTTCACTTTGTGATGTTTTGCAGCCAGGAGAAGTTTGCCAGCTGTTTCACTAAAATAAAAGAAAGAAACCCGGATGAATTTAAAAGCATCACAGAACAACTGATGCAACACCTCCAGAACAACATTGAGGTACAATTATTATGGTCAAGATGTATTGATCCATACCAGTAGTTTGACATGGGTGGCATGTGATGTGAAAAATGTTGGCACCTAAGACACCTTGGGGTTCACCTGCTACCTCTGGGCCTTGGATGAGGTACTCAAGGTCCCTTCCTTCCCCTCCCCCTTACCCCTGAAGAAAAAAAAAAGATCAAAGTGTAAGAATGATCCCCACCCCCTAGTAATAACCTGTCTTTTTGCTACTTCTTATAAATGCACCAACTTTCTTCTGAACCGTATATAATGACCCCTCAAAGTTATTTTTGAAGCCCCTTCAGAAAATCTCCTCAGGAGGGGTGGAATGACCCTCTTTCATTCTTAAAAAGTTCATTACTATACAGATTCTTCCTTTGCCATGGTACTTATCCACAAAAAAGAGCATGCTGCCTTGTTTCCTGAACTTATTCTTAGATCTTGCTGCTCTCCATGTGCTATTTTTCTGCATCATTGTCACTTTGTTTATGTCTTCTGGGGTAATCAAGTGATGGAAAACCAGTGAGGTTAAAGAAACAAGGCATAACTTTGCTATAATCAGCATCAAGTTCACTGCAATAGAATTTTAATGTACCGTAGCAATGTTGAATGGTGTTTTACTGTTGTGTGATTTGGGTTTAGTGTCTAACTGTTCTTGGTTACAAGTGTCATATGTCAATATTGTCTTTTTGTGTTCTTATTATAGAAAGAAATTGACTTGATGATTAAACAAGAAGATCTGGTGTATTTCTTCAATGAGCTTGACCGTATTGTTGCAGCCTCTGATAAAGAAGACCCTCAACCTGCTTGGTAATAATTATTATTTTCTAAATTGTAGTATTTAATTTAATTGCATTAGTATACATTAAAATGGTTTTCTTTGTTCCTAATTTCATCTATCTCACAAGTAAATCTTTAATTCCAAGGAGTGATGGACATTATTTTAGTTTCTCCTTACAACATCGACAAACAGGAAAGGTGACAAGAACAAAGATAACTTACAGTAACCTTGTTTCCGAGGTCTCTAGGTGCTTCCAGACATTCAGTGGAACACCTGGGAGAGGCTACAAAGTCTCTCTTCTTCCCAGTCATGGGGACAGGAAGAAAAGAGATCCTCAGTGGAAACAAGGACAAGATAACAATCAGTGACTGCATACAGCACATCCCTGGGATTGAGACCAATCAGAGTCACAGACTAGACAAGAGTCCTTGTTTGCGAGTGACCTTTGTGGTTCTTCTAGCCTCTTTGGCAATGAAAACAACTATTCTTCATAAAGTAGTGATGAAAATCAAACTTGATATACATGTCATTTTCAATAATTACAAGTACAGAAGCTGAACTGTGAGAATGGCAAAAGCTGCCAGATCTTGTGTACTGTTGCAAGGGATGCATAAAAGTAAATGAATATTCAATAAATTAAAATAGATTTCAGTTAATGTTTACAATATACAGGAGGCCTTCAGGAGATCCAGACAAAGATATAATTGACCATGTGATGGATGTGAAATTAGCTTACAAGGATCAACTGACTAACATCCTTCAACAGGTACAAAGCACTTGCTGCCAACCATTTTAGCTACGGATTGCCTGTCCATCCTATGACTTTTAAAATTATTTTAGTATTTGCAGCTACCCCTGTTCCCTTACAACAGTAACAAGCATTTCTCTTTGCACTCAGTTTGTTCTCTGTGGAAAATGTCAGATATATAACCCCCCCAAAATTCCATAGTAATGGAGTACCTATTGATGGAGATGAAGGGCTTATATGAGAATGGTTTTGGCTTGGTTATGAATTTTCGAATGATTATACACGTGTAGAAAGAAATGATTATGATGATCTACGATGATCTTTCTATTTTTTAATGATTTTCTTAGTAGTTGATGATCTTTTGATCTTGTAAGGTGGAAAGTTACAACGACAGACTAAAAGGGGAAGTCTTACCCAAGAGAGAGGAATTGGTAGAGACTGAGAGACGTCTGAGTGAAAAAACAAATGCTTTAAGAGAGGTAAAAACAAATATTCTTTTTATTTCAAATGGATCAGGAAGGAGATGTACTGTAAGTCTGTTGATTTATTGTTTTATGTAACTTTGTCTTTTGGTTTTTGCAGGCAGCAGAATACTGTGAAGCAAACAATTTAACAGCACTGCGTGAACAGTCTCTACTACTACTTACAAAGTGATCAAGAGAGATGATAGGGAACTTGAGTCGATCTTTATTAGTTTATATTAAAATGTAACCTCTGTGCAATTGCATCAAATGGAATGACTACTAGACGTAAAACATGCATAACTCTAGACTAGGTGGTCTGCATATGTCAGACATGTACAAACTGTATGTTGTTATTGCCTTTTCACTCATCAAAATACTCTATAAATAATCAACAATTTTTACTTTAATTTATAGTATTCTGTTTAATACAACTATTAATAACATTTATCATAACCAATATTTCCCGTTCAAGTCTTCTCCCAAATAAATACTTACAACAGTATTGCTAGTTATTGCCTTCATTTTCCTCTCCTTGAATCTATTGCTGTTTTTCACATGACATTGTCATATTTTAAAATAAAAAAGGTCACCTTATCTTTCCAAGGTTTTAGCTCCATCAGATGCAAGACCCTCAAAGAACTTAATACTTTACAAAGTTGTAGCTTGAAAGGGTACTTTCCAAGCTTTTGTGTTGTGTGAAATTAAAGAGGTAGCCCAAGCAAACTGACACTGTCATGCTTCTGAGGCTGCAATGATTTTACTTAAGAAAGCTATCTGTCTTGTAGGTCAAACTTATCTTTAAAGCTCTTGCTAACTGAACAGTCCTTGCATGAAATAGATTATTTAAATCAATGTGTTGGAGCTCTAGAAAAAATAAGTTTTTGTTTTATTAGCCTAACTCAATCACAGATGTTTATGTTACTTTCTAAGGGGCACCGACATGGCATAGCTTGAAAACCAGCAATACTGTATTTATAGTCTGCTGGCTGGACTATTAGGCTAGATCTCAGTCAGTGTTACATACTTTTAGAGACCATGGCGCTTTGCTAGTCATGCAAGACATTAATTGTTCCAGGGTGGCAAAGGAGGGTTGTAAACATCCTGTTGCATCTAATCAAATTTCATAAGTTATTCAATCCTTCTTCCTTTCTTGTATTAAATTCATTGTTTTGTGAGTCCAAATCATACATAACTGCTTTTTCACTCTTATTTCCCTTTCTGTTGTAAAATGAAAACTACTTTTACTTTTTTATTTTTATCAATTAAATAAATAATTTTTTCAACTTGCGATTACACCCACCAAGGCCACTTCAGCAAATTCTTTGCAAATTGACCAATTGCATTCTAAAAGTTTTAAAATATTTAGTAATCAAAATGACCACAAATCTGTTGCCTTGTTAATGTACAACAGGATTACATGGGTTATTTGTTGGAAAGCTACTGTTAACTTCCATGATTTTTTTGTTAAATTTGTGGAAAATTTTGTCGGGAGGCCTTGGTTAGAGCACTAGCATTTTAAGTCTTTGCAGCCGGTTTCCTTGCATGGTACTGCAAATATTCTCTAAGTGATTTTTGCATGGTTCAAGAAATATTGAGGTATTAATGGAAACCTTTGACCCCCTTTCCTGTACATTAAAAAGAACAAATGAAGAAAGCAGGTAATGATAATAATTGGCTTAATCATGTGAATATAGACAATTTCATGAAGAACCAAGTTCACCTTGTCATGAGGAGTCATTGAAACTACATGAAAACGAATTTGGATATTTCTTTGCCCAGTAGAGAATTTTAGGGTCAATTGAGATGAACATGGTTGTTTTAAATTTCTTAACATTTCTTTAACGAGATACAATGCACTTTATGCCAGAGTGTAATTATGTAACTTCTTTTGATTTATCTAATCAACTACATTATATGCAATAGATTCTCACTGTTAGGTTGTGCAACATGCACACCAGAATGCACTGGTATCATATGCAGCTTTATATTTAAATGATATCAGAGTTCTGTTTAAAACTGTCTCCATGGCAGTGTCTTGTGGCCATCTCCAATCTCACCCTAACAGCCCTTGTGGAAACCCACACTGTAAGAGTCTTAATTCTTGAAGTGGAATCCATAAAAAGACATCTTTTGAAATTATTTCCTCCAATACTGCAAATAACCAAAGCAAACTAAGTTCTTGGTAATGAAAGTCAGGGCAGAAGTAAACAACATTCAAATAAAGGAGAGGTTCACGTGGGGATGGGCCAAGGGGGCAGTGCTTGCCCCTCTCCATGGTTGTCACACCACCAGTGTAAGGTTGGGTTTCTTCCCCAACTTTTATTAGTACCTAAGCCTGTTTATTAACTTCCTGGACCTGCTCCTAAAGAAAGAAGTTATCAAATTGGGATAAGCTAACTTGAGTTCCTTTATCTGTGTTCAGAACATTTAATATGCCCCCCCCCCCCCCANAAAAAAAAAAAAAAAAAACACAAATGGATTGAAAGAAATATGTGCAATTTGCACAACACTGCTAATTGAGATTGCAACTTAAAAATCCACTCTCTTGCTTGGGAACTGATACTTAAATTACACTGATGTAGTTTCTCTAGCAGAAGTGCAGTTCATTAACTTTGTTTACTGAAGCAAAATGAATGTAACACTGACTAACCTGAGCCATTTTGTGAAATTGCTCCACTACAACGGGAAGCATAGCAGAGACACTTTCATCAATAAGAGACTGCAAGTACTGGACTGCTTCCTCATCATTCAAGTCCAAACGGAATTTATCTTGAACCTGAGAAAAAAAATTAACTAAGTTGATTACACATGCAAAGAAAAAAAAACAGATTAATACTGACGAAGAAACCTCGGATGCTGTGAATAACAACTGAATAAAAACAATCACTTCTCGGTTCGTCTTTTGGTAGTGAACAAATTATCATGTTTGCACCATCCACAACATGTGTGTCAGTTTGAGGCTTCCATTTTTTTTTTCAGTTTTAAGAAACAGCCTCTTTGGACATCAATGCCCCTACCTCTTACCACTTCACTGTAACATAAAAAATTGTATGGCAAGGACTCAGGCTTACCTTTTTAACAGTTTTGTCAGGTTCTAATGCAATGTCTGGTACATTTGCATCCACCATTAGAGCAAACAGGTTTAAAATCAAGTTGGCATGTCTGTTGGGAAAACAAAAAAAACAAAACAAAACAACAAAGAAAACATCAGATGTTTCAGATGACATCTCGAATATACAAATTCCAGAAATTTTCAGTAGAGTTTCCCTGCCTCGTTAGACTAGGCTAGGCTAGGCTAAGCTAGGCTACTTTATTCTACTAATGTACTCTACTCTTCTTTATACGGTACTGTTAGAACTGCTCTACTGTACATAGAGCCGTAGAGGTCATACAGGAGCTGAAAAACTCTACGCTAAATTTCCAGAATATTTTGTGCCGGGTGAACCTTAAGTACCGGCTTTATTTGATGAAAATTACCTCTAGTTGTACATCAATCAAAATTTGCTGAGCACTTTGGTGGCAATCAACTTATCATTCCTTAATGGTACATGACCATACATGTACTCCAAGAAAACATGAGCACGAAACAATCTTTCTCACTTGTAAGCTAAAATTCTTGATTACAACAATATGTAATTGCAATTCCATCTGTCATTTACCTTCTCAAGTGAAGGAAAGCTGTGAAACATTGTTTCCTGAATGTCTGGTAAAACTCACTCGATGCACCCCCCATGCCTTCAACCTAAACACAAGACAAAAGAATTTTGAGTTACAATATTTTGCTTTTTAAGGTTATGTCTGCATATGAGCCAAGTGGCCCATCTGGCTGGAGCTTATCCTAGTTTCTACAGCATGAAGCAACTAGGAATATTTCTACTCCCTCCTGGATGGGATGCTAGTCCATTGCAGGGCTAACCCCCCACATTAAATTTGCCGAGAGAGTCAAGTGTCTTGCCCAAGAACACAAGACTATGTCCTCAGCCAGGACTTGCACCAAGACTGCTCGATCTGGAGTCCAGTGCACTAACCATGAGGCCACTGTGTCTCCACATTTTTAGGGTGGTTTAAATGCTGACAACAAAAGTTAACTAGAGGTAACAGGTTGTAATAAAATTAAAATTTCTGTTTTGCTTACTTTAAATTATATTGTACAATTTTGCTATAGTTAATTGCTTTCTTTTTATTACCATTTCCTTGCTCAGCTTCATTGGTGGTGGTAATGGTTTGGGATCTCTTCCAAGAATATAACCAAAGTCAATGTGAAACAAATTTCCTAAGAATGAAAAACACACAGATAACAAGAGCAGAATAGGAAAATTCATAGTGGATGGTGGCAAGGCTGGAATCGACAAACTAATTATCTATCAGTAACCACCGTAATAAATGTGCTGGGAAACTACAATGTGTACAATGCACAATGTGTTCAGGAAGATATCTCCAATAATCTCATCTAAAAAAAATTCTTGATTGTGATTGGTTCTCTGCACACCTATATGTCACATAATTGATGCGCAATCACATGGGTGTACAATTACAGGTACCTACACCTTTTGCACATCAATTATGCAAGCTTGAATGTCTTCCTTCTTAATGTTCCTTACAGTTTTTACAACTTATGAAAACCACTTGTCTACTGGCTTTTTCACTCAAAAGAAGTTCTTCATGACAAACACTTTTCTTAATTTCGAAATTTGTTATTGATATGATTAATATTATTAGCAATTGGACCACTCTAGCCTCCTTTAAGCAGGAAGAGTTGAATGTCTCTTTTTAGCAAAAAGAAGTTAATCTTATTCTTAAATCGCCTAGTTTTAAGCTTCTTTGGGCTCCTTGTTACTGTTACCTGATTTTGTGAGAAGTAAATTGTCCAGATGTCTATCTCCTACACCCAGGATGTATGTAACAACACAATATCCAGCTACAGGACAAAACAGAGTTCTATCATCAAAAATGTCAGATTCACTGTACTTGCATTACTGTTGTATTAGGGTCACACAGAGACAGAAGTTTAATAGATGCCACTGCACTTGGGTCAAAATGGTCAAAGAGGTTTAGCACAGCTGGAACTAAACATAATATACCACTCCCCCTAAATGAGATGCTCTATTTCATTGGCTTGTGGTGAATGGTCTTTTAAAACATAGGCTTCTTGTAGGATTTGAGGAAAATTTAACAGTTTGTTCCACACTCAAAGTCTCAGTCAATTTCATCTACAAGGCTAAGAAAGTCTTTGGTTCACAAGAAAGAGATACTAGTCTTGCCCTATGCATCCCGCAAGGTCTCTAAAGATTTATCAGTTGTTATCCCTTCATTGCTAAGTAAACAGTTTGCCAGTTCCCTTTTATACTCCTGGTTAAGGGTTGGAGAGTACATGTCATGTAGATTACTTTGCCCAAGAACACAACACAATGACCCCACCTAGTGCACCAAATATCACAGACCTCCTCGGATCTTTTGCCACCAGTATGCCTAATTGAGCTTACCACAACTTTTGACGTAAGTGTCCATCACCTCGGGACTGATTCCAAGGGGTGCACCTTCACATGGAGCATGCCTGCGAAAGTAGTTCTGCACAGAAAGAAAAGTAAATTAGTCAGATAATTATCTTCATTGCACTGACAACACAGAAACATGGTATCAATGGATTTAAGAGTTATAAGTGAAAGTCTCTCATATATCGACGCAACAACAACAACAATAATAATAATAATAATAATAATAATTATTATTATTATTATCATTTTGCTCAACGCTGGCTTAGGCTTTGCTGGTCACCCGCTTTGCCTCTTAATGCCTGCGTCTTGCTTCTGCGTCAGAGTGCCTTCAGCTTCTCGGACCTGCAGTATCAGGTGTGTGCTGCTCCTTTTTTCACTTTGTTTGTGTGGGGCTAGGTGCTTGGGGTGTATTTGGGGATTGGAGGTTCCAGGTCACCCTGTTCTCAGGTCCCTCCATTCTCCAAGCACCTGGAGAAAGGTTTCCTTTGGGTGGTTCCCACTTCCAGGGTTGCCATGGATACCTCCCCTTCTGCGTACAGCTTCGGCTCCCCGCTAACCTTTCAGGCACCAGTTCCCAAGCTCATTTATTTGTGATGAGCTTAAATGTGGCTAAATATGATTTAGGCAAAGTTAGACTCAAACCAATGCAGTCAGCGGTTTCCCCTTTTACAGTACGTGACTTGTGGGGCGGCCCTTTGGAGATTTGCAGGGCTGTTGTGTCACATTGCATTGCACGTACTGTGCTGCCAGCTGATCATTGCGGATCATTTGCTTTGTACTTTGGCGAATCTTTGTGGATTCTCACCCCTTCCCGTCCCTCCCTCTTGGTTGCTGGTCTCTAGGTAAGTATGGGTCAGGTAAGTTGTTTCCACTGATTCAATCAGTGTGACAGTGCCAGTTAGCAGCTGCTTTTGGGGGTGGTTCCCACTTCCAGGGTTGCCATGGATACCTCCCCTTCTGCGTATGGCTTTGGCTCCCCGCTAACCTTTCAGGCACCAGTTCCCAAGCTCATCTATTTGTGATGAGTTTAATTATTATTATTATTATTATTATTATTATTATTATTATTATTATTATCATCATCATTATCATACCTGTATACTTCTGTCTTCATCTTTGTCTAATACTTCTGCAACAGGAGTAGATTCTATGAATTGCACAAAACCTGCCAAAACATGAAACAATATTAGAAAGTACTTGGATTTCCACATTGAGTAGCAATTAATAACAGTATTAGATAACTGAGTTTTGATAGATCCAAAATATCACTGGAGTTTGGGCTACCAAGAATAGGGGACAGGAATGTTTAGGAGAATGCTCCATGTATCACTAAGTCTTATAACAATGAAAACTGACCATGATTTCCACTTGTCGCCAACACCTTGTATGGAGTCAATTTCAAATCCAAGTTTTCTTTCATTAAAAGCTGCAAAAGAGCGTAAAAACATTCCAAGCAAAAAGTAAAATATACACATAAAATAACGTAAGTATAAATTTAAGTATTTTGAAATTGTACATATTAATTAAACAAGCACAAAGATTAACAACATCTGACATAAAAGGGGAGCTCCGATCTGCAATTCGAGTGACAGATGACTTCATTGCATGACCAAAGGCCTTACTTGCCTTCCCAGTGCAGAGATCTGCACTTATAAGCACAGAATNATGTGACATCTTACAGTGCATTGTTATAAGGTATAGTTGGATAAAAGAGAGAAAGTTGTCAGATCTGAGATTGCATTTATTATCATTTACCTTATCCATAAGTCTTATAATCTGAAGAATCAGCTGATCTTGCCGCAAATCATCACCATTCTTAAAAATTGTCTGTCAAAGAAAGGAATGGAATTTACTAATGTCATTAATATAGCTGATTTAATATCAGTCTTGGTTCAGCCATCACAGTTTGAAAACACATTTTACTGTGCGATTGTTCTATTGCGAAAGAAAATCAAATTCATATTTTAACTATTTGGTTAAAAGTTGATGCAGCTAAAAGGAAATACAAGAAAATAATGTACTTCTTGAAAAGGAAAATATTTTTACCAACAGATGGTTCTACTTGACATGCTCTGCAATTAAGTGCTTGGTGATCAGTATCTTGTGCAAAATCAAACCTTTACACAAGTTTCCTTTACCACTCACAACTTTTTTTGTTTTAAGTCAATAATTTTTTAATTTTTTTTTAAGTCAATAATTATTATGGACTGATTAGTAGTTCAGTTTAGAGTTTAGAGTTGCAACTAGTTTATGACTTACAACATATTCTTGATCATCCAAGGTTCTAAAGGTTAGTTTAGCAGGCATAAGGTGGCTCTTAAACAGACAGGCTTTTTCTGCAAGAGAGCAAAACTTTGAAAATTCACTCATTTCAATCAACTGCAGTCATCAACTACTCTGCTATCTATTTGTAGTTAATATAAAGGAATCAGTCAGCTTTTATTAGTAAAATGACCTATCAGATTCAAACTTTAACAAGCTGCGCATGTGTAAAACTGCTTTTTCAGTTTTTGTTTTTAGAGGGGATTTTTAATATAATGTGTTATTTTATAGCTAAGGGAAAACAGATTTGTCAAAACTGAGTTATCTTGAAGCCTATTTGGCACTAATAAATAGTGATTCAAAAAAGGTTGGCTGAAAACTGATTTCACAATGGTCACATACTTTCTTCTGGAGTTCCTACTATGATACCCTTGATTTTGATTTCTGGATCAAGGAGCAAAGGAATTGGTCCAAATGTGGTCAGCTCAGGAACATCAAGCAGCTCTCTTAACCTGTGAATCTGAACAAATAATAAAAGCCATTACCAACTGACATAAATGTAATAAACTCTTTACTAGCCAAGGGCAAGCTTGAACACACTACTTGGAGCTTATCCTAGCTTTTATTAAACGATTAAGAGTGTTGCCACTCTCCTTGGGTGAGGTTGTTACCCTCCACCTTGGAGCATATTTGTCAGGTTTTCACCAATTTTGCATAACCATTAATTTTAGAGTCCTTGGTGAAGAGAACAACTGAGAGAAAAGTGTCCCTCTACCCTGCAAGCAGTGGTTTTTCCATTGCTGAATACTAATGTATGTTGCGAACAAGGGAGAACAAGAGTGTAGAAGAAACCAACTCAGGGTAGTGTGTCTTGCCCAAGAACATAACACAATGATTCCGGCTAGCACTTCAGCTCAATCCGGACTCCAACATGCTAACCACTACACCACTGCAGCTTGGCACATGACATTTGACATGACTAACCTTTCTGTTACGATTGCCACTAAACTGGGAAACTTCCTTCATAAGTCTGACAATATGATTGACAAACTGCTGTTGTTTGCCCAACATATTTCGTCTTACTGTACACTCCCAGCCACCCTGTAACAGAACAAAGAGAGATTTTTTTTTCTCAGATCACAGCTTTACAAAAGCTGAAAATAGTGTTAGTAGTCTGCCAAATTTTCCCTCATGTTAATCAGTGGATATGATAAACATCCAAGGTTAAGGAAATTAAGCTGTGGATAGTTAGAAGGGTGTTCTATTTTATTTTTAATGGTTTAAGAGGAAACAGAGATTTGAGTTACAAGCAAACTAATAGCTAAGGATGAATATGAGAAACAGTAACCTTCATCAATGCATGGCTGAATCTCCTCATGACATTTAAATACATTGCTCCTTCCTTTGTTTCTTTGCCCTCGTTACATTCCACCAGTAAATACCTAGTATTATAACATTAAGAAAGAGCACACCAATCAGTAGACACATGCTTCAAATGAAACCTCAAATGCTTTTTACCAAGATTCTAACAACTCACCAGCTAGACAGCCAGCTGGACGGGGCAGCCGCGGACAGATACCCCCACCCATCCACCCCTGTGGATGCTTGTCAGTAGCCTATGCCTCAGAAGGGGTACTAAGTGTAAATGAAGTGAAGTCAAGCTAACAACTCTGTTTTCATATTTAGTTGCAAAACTTTTTGGAAAGAAAACTATGCCTAGCAATTTTTACCACATTGCTGGGCAGATTAAATGTCTATCAGTGTACATGTAACAAGATGTAATAGCAACGGGAGGTCTCTTCTTAGCCAGTTATAACAACACCCAAAATTGGTTACAACCTCTCCTGGGAGGTTTAATTGCATTTTAAAAGATGGTAAAATAATTTAATATCCAAACCATCTTAGAAACACCTTACCAGTAGAAATAATTTGCTAAAGTATCACTTCTGCAAGCTCTTGAAATAAGGAATGAGGCCAGATCTGAATCCTGAGTACAAAAAAATTGCATGTTTAATGTAAATGCTCAAGGAAGTAATGAAAATTTTCTTTCCTTTTCAGTCATTTAATGGGAACCAAAATGGTAGAATACACGTGTAGATGAAACAAAATGGTAGATGAAACACAGATCATGTATTATAACATGAATCAGTATTTCCCAGTCATCAGCAATCATGAGGTGTATGACTGTAATCTATGCAAAACACAGGTGATACAAACTTATTATCTCCAAAAACAAAAGTTACTGGCTTCCAGTTCTCACATAACAGCCCATTTATTTCAAGAGTACACCAAATTATGCTAGGCTAAGACTACAGTAACACTGCCATGACCAGTTCCTAATTTGACAACTTTTCAGAGAAATGACTCGATGGATTGCAGCTTGCACTGCCGACAATTTTCCAACAAGCAGCATAATCAGAAAAGTGCATCCCACAAAAACAAAATATATTTTCTTTGATTTTATCAACTGACACCTTAAAATTATCTGAGTGTGCTAATACTATAAAAACAGATTTTTCTTCCATGTATTTACCTCCTCAGTATCTTTGACTGCAGTTGTGCTGAGCTTCATCTGTTCAGCATCTAACACAAGAGAAACACAGTCAAAAATGATCATTGTAATCAACTGTCCCTGCCATTTTTTTAGGTTTTCACTCTCAAAGGCAAGGCTGAGCCAGCCAATCTCACAGCAGTTTTTAGTTTTCATGGATAATGGGCAAGCAGGACACTGTATATCATTGGCAGAAGTCATGTCCAACACCATTTACAGATAGCTTTGACATGACATGCTCCTAAGTTAGAATGACTTGGTAAATGTTTGCATGCCGTCAATCAGTCTGTAAATTATTCGCATCCTTTTGTATATGTTTACCTTGTGTTGGTGGTGACTCTGCAGTCTGACTTTCAATACTGTCTTGGAGAAGACTGTCAACCGTGTTCTCTGTGAGCTTTTCTTCTTCATCTGATAATGCTTCATAACGCAATGCTTGGACAAGTTGAAGAAGGTAGAGCAGCAAATCCTGCAAGGGAAAAAATACCCACATGTGAGCAGTGAAAATTGCTGGTATTACTCAGGAAAAGGCTTCTTGTCTGTTCACCATTCAACCTTACTGTCTGTTGGTCAGTCAACCAATTTGTTGATAAGTCAGTCAGTCAGTCAGTTGTTTGGCTGGTCAGATAGACAGAGACAGAGAGGACAGAGAGACAGTCAGTCAGTTGGCCAGTCATCAGGCAGCCAGCCATCTGTCTCAGTATTTCATCCAAAGTGCTTACATCATCATTAGCCTCCTTAAGTCTTGACACAGCATACTGTCTGACTGCTCTGTTGGTAAACTGAGATGATAACAACTCCAAGGCATCTTCAACATCCATTGGGTTCCATTTTCCCAAAAGTTCTAGAGCCTGGATCACACAACAATAAAGTACTTCGTTACAACAATTTACATTGCAATGGATGAAGGTGAAAAAGAGAGTGACACAATTATGTACTACCAGTAAGTTGCTCTTAGGAGGCATGGTGGCCTCATAGTTAGTGTGCTAGTCTTTGAATCAAGTGGCCCGCGTCTGAGCCATGGCCGGGGGCATTGCATTGTGTTCTTGGGCAAGACATTATCAGTACTCTCACAGTGCCTCTCCCACCCAAGAGTATTAAACTGGGTATCAGCAAATTTAATGCTGGGTATAACCCTGTGATGAACTACATGTGGCATCCCACCCAGGGGGAAGTAGAAATACTCTTAGTTGCCTCATACTACAGAAACTGGGATAAGCTCTGGCCTGATGGGCCACTTGGCTCATATGCAGACTTCACCTTTTACCTAAGTTGCTCTTGTCAGGATTGTCAAAGTTTTGAAGTTGGTGGTTTTATTATTGGAGTAGGTGGATGAATTTGGTGTCTTTTTCCAAATAGTCATACCAAGAGCTCGGCAGAGTAGCTAGGCTTGATTTCCGCCGCTTTCTCGAGTCCGGTCTACATTCCTCCCCGAGAAGAGACAGCTGGACGCGTGAGCGGCAAAGCATGTCTGTGAGGTAACTTCATAATGTAATTCTTGCGACGCTTCAGGTGGCCGGAAATGTCATCTGATGACAATGATAGGCAGGCCCACATGATGCATACGGCTTGAAAAATTTGTCGCATTTTCACCACTTCTTTTAACTTTGGCCCTCGAACCTATTTTGTTTCACATTATTGTTGTGGAAGGGCTTTACATGCTCTGCTCTACAGAAGAGTTTTTTTTTAAGTAGAGCAGAGCTGGTTGACTATGCTATAGCAACTGTCATGTCAAAGGTCACACATATGTTGGTGTAAATGGTGTTGACACCATGTTTATGTTTTGCTAGTTTGGTTTGCTTTGGCTCATTTAAAAATTTAATTTTGTCTGGGTTTCCCAGAGAGTGGTGTTGCTTCTCTTCAAGAAGACTAAGGTACACATCAATTTGACTGAGTGTTTTGTTTCTTGAAATCGATGTCTGCGTTTATCCCTCCCTTTGTTTACTTTGTTCGTTATCTCATATTCTGGTACCACATGATTCAAATATAGATTCTAACGTATAAGTCTGCTGACTATTTTGCGTGTTGTATATGCTACTATGGTTTAGCTCAGGCAAGATTTCATGAGTTGACGGTATTTGGTTAAATATCCCACTAATGCGATCGCACTTCATATCACACAACTCCTTTGCTACTGCGAGAAACCTAATTTATGCAGCCTGCTCGATTCAGGCAGGCAGATTTCTTATTGGTTGAAATTAACAATGCCAAGTCCACGAGTCCAGCCGTGAGTTCGGGGGAGGAGCGCGAGCTCTTTTCCTGAACAGCGGCTGGTAATCGAGCCTACAGAGTAGCTGGCTGTTATTATATCACACGCATGGTGATTTTTGCTAAAAATGCCAGGCTATTTTTGATGACGAACCCTATCTTGTCCAAGCAAATATTTTGCTTACCTGTCTAGCCTCCTGTGGCTGACTCCAATCAACACACTTGAGAAACTTAGTCAGTGCCTGCAACCATAAATAATAGTAACAGCCACATGAATGTCCAACAGTTTTATTTCTTGATGTCATATGTAGCAAAAGCAGCAGGTTTTTCTTTCATTATTTGAAGACTGATTCAAGTGTTGGTCTTGCTGTGCTTTGAACACCTCACCTTCCACATTGCAGACCAGTACCCTCACCAACTGGGTTTAATAATTAATTACAATCAATAAGATTTATTTTTTTTATAAAAGGAAAAAATAATGACAGTTAAACAATAACAATATTGTAAGTTAACCTTTTTCTGATTGGTGAGATAAAATCTGAACTGCCACACCAAGTCTTTTTCCTCTGATGTCAGTACTTTGGTTGATGGGTAACCAACAATTTGCTAAAAAAACAAAACAATAATTAATCAACTTTTTCATACAATTATTAATATTATTTACAAGTCATAACTGCATACTTAGCATCAAAAGTTACCTAATTTATGCTCTACCTACAGGAATACAAAGACTGAAGGAGTTTAATTATGATTCATACATTTAGCTGATCCCTGGTTTTTGCATTTGGTTTCAGCTCCCTTGAAACTGTTCCACTTCTAATACTTCTTACAAGCTTGTGATGCTTTAACTCAACCAGGTTTTCCTGAAAAGAATAGCATATATTAATGCATTCAGGTTATCACACACTAATTTACTCTGCAGAGTACATGTACTTTTACTACCACAAATGTCTGTGTACAAGCTTGTGATGCTTTAACTCAACCAGGTTTTCCTGGAAAGAATAGCATATATTAATGCATTCATGTTATCACACACAAATTTCCTCTGCAGAGTACATGTACTTTTACTACCACAAATGTCTGTGTATAAGCCATAGAGAAGCTGTATCCCCATGTTGGAAGCTCATCAGAACCATTAACAATAAGGCAGTGAAGCTTAGGGTTAAACTAGCAAAGCAAAAAGTAAAAGTTTCAAAAAACTAAATGCCGTAGTTGTAACATGGATAAACTCTTGAGATGAAGGAATCTTGGTTCTTAGGATGCTCTTTCATTTTGATTTTTCTGTATCGTCACTTTACAAAAACCCAGAATCTTGCTTTGAAATGACGTTATTTTGAACTAAACACTTTGAGCAAGGTAGCAGCATATGAAGATAGCAAGTTTCAATACCAGTAGAATTTCTGGATCTGGAACCCTCACAATCTCTGGATGAGTGCAGATATAGTCAATATCATCGGCATCCTGAAAAAAAAAGAATGTAAGTGACGTCAGTTTTTATGACCAGTGGTTCATTGGTCACGTGTTTTAAAACTCTGGTATCTATGGCAGGAAGGAACTTTCAGTGTTGCTACTACACCTGGAGAGGATTTTCATCCATTGCAGACTTTCCACATCAACCGCACTCATAGATTAATATTTCAGTCACAACAAAAATGAGAATTATTTTTCAGATTCTTAATTTAGGAACATTTTAGAAAAAAACAGGGAAATTTTGCACACCTCTTTGAGCTAGAGAAAGTTTTCGAGTCAGTTTTGAAAAGTTAGCATAAATCTAAGAGTGATAAGCCACTTTCAAAGTAAATTTCTATGACATAACAAAGTTCACAACACATTGTACCTTGATCACTACATTAAGATTGACCAGTTTTCTCACTTGATGCTATTTCTGTGTAACTCAACAAGTCATGAATTGAATGTTGTCATCAGAGTCAAATTACCTGGGAATCTGAGTCTAACAGTTCTTTACTAGAAGATCTGATGAGCTCTGTGATGCAGCTAAGACCCATGAATGAATAAACATAATCAACTTGCCATTACCAACTGGAACAAATGTCTTGTTTGAAACATTCAAATCATGGAAAACACATTGACCAAATATTTTTTAAAATAATGCATTAACAAAAATATTAATCTTTGAATGGATATAAAAGAAAACTGCAATTTTTTTTCAGACATATGTTTCAAACTGAGGAACTACTGAAAACATGATGTGAAACCATGAATAATATATGAATTAACCTAAATTTAAATTTTTAATTTCTACACCAGCTGGTTAAGTTCTGAGCATGTATAACCACACTACAGTTGTATATGACTCACCAAATATTTATTTCAGATCCAATTATTACACATTTTAGTAACATAAAACATAAACACAGTTGAAAGTTCATGCAAAAAGCTCAAGCTAAGAGAGCCTCAGACTAAACAGATGAGGCTGCCTGAGAGTTGATCTGATAGTCAGATATTTTGGAAGAAAACAATGCTATAACACAGACTTGTTCTATTGATAAGAGAGACTGAAAGACAGAATCTGTGAACACATATAACTAAATTTTTTGTAGCATTGTTCATACAAGTCATGTGCACTGTAAATCAGACAGGTTATCATGAGAAATAACAGCTGAAGAAAATCATCCTCTGTACATGTTGGGGAATATTGGCTTGAAACAGATATACTCACAACTAACATGATTATTATTAAAATAAATGTATGGCAATCAGAAGGGAGAGTTTATTACTACAAAACTTTCAACCTTAGTCAACTAACTGACTGAGATTCCTTCTTGATAGCCATGGTGGTTTGCCTATAAAAAAGTCTTGTTTATTATTCCCTTATCTTAACTGTATCATTAATATTAGCATCTCAAAAAACTTCCAAGACTGATGTTTAACAATTGCTGTTCTACCTGATGAATATATTTACCACTACAAGAAGTGCAACATCTTAATCTAATTTCTTGAATTGTCTAGTAGATCTGTATATTCTTATTTAAGCCATTGACCAACACTATATACCCAAACTTATTAACTAAGCCATTTGCACCCTAAAAGTTTCAAAGACTGATGCTTCACATTTGCTGTTTTGCCTAACGAACAAAAACCACTACTGTCTGCAAAATCATTATCTAATAGTTTGAATTGCCTAGATTGCCTAGATGTTGACCAGCAAATACATAAAGTATACGTCCATCCCAAATTTATTTTGCCTATTTAGAAAGTTACCATTGAGTAGTCAGTGTTTTGACATCATGTGGAAATAAAAGAAGTCCAGACAAGTGATCAAAAACTCCACATCTTTCTTTGCATTAGATGTGTAAATCTGAGGCATTGCAAGTTCAGATTGTTTTTTTTGTTGTTGTTGTTTTTGTTTTTCCAATAATACAGACCGAAATAATATAAAACATTAATAATCCATAATTTTCATAACTGCATGCACAATTATTGCACATATATTTCAAGTAAAATAAATGTTATGAACATAAGGTTGTCATCTGAGGTATGAATGATTACTTAACCATAATTATTTTGGTAAAAATGTCACAACACAGATTTACATAATAATGCAATCCATACTTCTCATTGTCACTGGCTTTCTAGTTTTGATGTAATATACACAATCAGATTGTTTTTTCTCAAAATAACAGACAGGAGTGGTAGGACATGAGTAATAATTTTTATTATTCATTCAAAACTGCATGGCTTGCACAATAATTAATTGCTGTGGAAACAGTTTTGAATTTATTGAGTGATATACCCAGTCGAGAATATGTAATAGATCTTAAAGTACAATAAATCTGATTACCATAATTAGTACAAAAAGAAAGTAACAAAACAGATTTACATAATAATGCAATCCATATTTCTTGCTGTGAATCTATACAGTACGTAACATATTGGCCTTCTAGTTTTGATAAAATGTATCCATGAATATGTAAAATAACAAAATGGCTCATTTCTAACAGTTTTCACCCACCACTCTACCCCATGGGGGAGCTGCATCTATCACTTTCCAGTCATTTGCAGCATACAATAATAATTATTAATATTGATTTCTTTAATCAAGTCTTCACCAAACTGGCCCTAATGTGTTGCTCTACTTCTGCAATATTTAATATATAAAGCTTTTAAATCATAGTCTCACAAGCTTAGTACATTGTCCATGTTTGCACAATCATGACACCAAAACTAAACAGGGATGGCATCCTTGACTTGGCCGCTATGCCGAGAAATATCAATGAGGTCATGCTATGTAAAAAGCAAGTACCAATATTGTTTGAGTTCTAAGCTTGGCGAGGAGAACTGCAACCACACAGTGTTACTGTGACGGTTGGGAAGTGCTAACAGTCAATGGTAGAGTAGCTCTCAGTATTATCCTTATACACCAGTTACATGATAATACTGATTGAAGTTCATATTATGACATTATGCTGAACCAGAGATGTTGTTAGAACCTTAGTTGTAGCCAACATAGTTTCTACAAAATAATATTGTGCAATGCACAAGTCCAGGAAAAAAGAATAATACACAAAACCAACCTTTTTAAACATTTTTAACTAATCAAGACTGCTTACAAATCCTGTCTCAAGTCAAGATTATTTAATCACCCATCCAAGCAAATCATCAACATTTTTTGCTATTCTTTGTTTTTTGGTAAGGCTACCTGAGTTAAATATTGGCACCATTTTTGTAATCTTTCATATATTGTATCGGGAATTCTTTGTTCTGCAACATGCTTACACAACAATTATGTACAATAATCTTATCAGTAAACAGTATCACCACTTACTTGGATCTTTATAGTGTTCACTCTGAGCCTGAGCAGTGCTAGCATTACGTATTTTTTCTTTGTCACTGCCCAAGATATAAATGTTCTAAAAAAGTATCTAATTATTTAGGCCAAAAATATCAACTGAGGATGCTTATCATTTCGACAACAGTTACAACAGAATTAGTGCATTGACAATGATTCTTTTCAGAAGGTACCAGATGTCTTGTGACTTTGTAAATGATTACATAACATGGTTAATAACAGACTGAATAATAATTTTTGAAATGCTAATAAAATAATATAGATGACCAGATGTTAAAATAAGAGGCCTATTTCAAAATTATATTATGTTATCATTAATTTTTTCCCTGACACAACGGTTTTACTACACATCATTCTAAAATAATATCATATTGTACAATATGTATTATCATACTCAAAGTATATCATCTGGATTTGTAGATAGACATGAATATTCTGGAAATTACTTTTCAACAGTAGTATTTAATACATCTTTACACACAAATGCAGAAATGTTCCTGGTGGGACGTATGCAATAATCTTGGTAAATTTTGACGAGACAAAATGGCATGATTGTGAAAATGTCAAGTTAGTTTTTTTAGGACTCATTTTTAATATTGCTATATTGACATGCCTGGGGAAATTGTGCGTTATTATGGTAAATAATTATTATTCCTGTCTTGTTTAAACCATTTTCTTCTTTTTCTTCAGTTTTTGAGCTTTTCAGATCGATTCAATTTGTGTAAAGGATTTTACCTTATCACAGTATGAATTTTATTCATTTATTATTCTTTTTAAAACACAGCTTATTGTATAATTCGTTTTCTTTGTGGCAACCACCTTAGTAACCACATTCTATAGTAATGCAGGAAAAAATCTTTCTCCATTAGCAGGACAAGAGTCGTGTTATGTGTTCCAAAACAGACATGTTATAGTTTAATACAATAAAAAATTCATTACGCACAACAGTACAAAACACATATAAAAAGACAGAAAGTGTCCCAGAGACTCATGAACATTTGTCTCACAGCCAGCACTTGCCAATTGAAAGGTATGCTTTCAATAAGACCTGGCACCTGCCGTGACTCAGGTGGGTATTCTGTTGTGAATCACCAGCTCTAATACAAACAAGTTAGCCCTATAGAGGAAGTTGTTGAATCCCGTCCTGCTGCTCTCTTACAGATGGAGTACTAAAACAGCCTTCAACTTCAAATCTCATTGAAACCAGTCACTAATAACAATATTTTAAATTAAAGTAAAGTGAAGCCTTGGAGCCGACTGGCTCATAGCTGTTGGAGCTTATCCCGGTTTCTGTAGCATGCTAGTCCATCGCAGGTCATTCCCCCGCAATTTGTTAGGTTTCCCCAACAATTCGCCAGTACCCATTTACACTCCTGGGTGGAGAGAGGCACTGTGAGAGTTAAGTGTCTTGCCCAAGAACACAACACAGTGCCCCCGGCCAGGGCTTGAACCCGGACTACATGATCCGGGAACGAGCGCACTAACCATGAAGCCTGCCACCTCATCTCCACATTTTAAAGTAAGCTTATTTAAATTGTATAACATCATGCAAAAGGTGCTTGAACAGCTTGCCAAAATATGTGGGAAGGTACTAAACTGTGATGAGCTACATGTAGCATTCCATGTATGGGGGAGTACCAATAACCTAGCTGCTTCGTGCCACAGAAAAGGGAATTACATGTAAGTGCTTGGTTAATGAGCCATGGGCTCCTGGTCGTTTGAATTGTGTGGCTCAGCCAAGTGACTTTCCATTGAGACCAAGAAATGCTGCCTGCTGTAATCTTGCTCTACATGTACATTCATTCCACAACATACAGGTTATTTTATTAATTACCTTCTCAAAATGCACCACAGCATACTCCAAACCATCACAATGGACTCTGGGAAACTTGATCATCAAAAACATGAAATTGGAGTTCCGCTTTTCCCTCTATAAAGAATAGTCACGATGACTGTTAAGTCAGTAATTGTGAAGAACAGCTCCCAAAAAAAACCCGTTGGCCGACTGTTGGCTGTTTGTTGACTGTCAGCAGACTGTTGTCTGACAGACAGCCGACAGGTTTTGTACAGATTTGTACAAGAAAGTTTTGTGGTGGTTTTTGCTTTTACTTTCAGATGAAATCTGCTTTATCAATTTAGATTTAAGATGTTCTTATCCGTTAGTTACACAGTAATAAATTTGATATAAAATTAAGTTTTTCAAAAATATTTCAGAATCAATATTTTCTATGCCAACCATCGATCAGTAAGTTAGTGACGAGATCTGTTACTAATTGTTTTCGTGTTTTTGAAATCATTTTGTTGATCGGGTATAATACTCTATATTTCCTGTACATCCTACAGCAAACTTTTGTTTTTGTTAGCAAACTTTTGGTAACCTGTCGGCCAATGGCTTACTGACAGTTGGTTTCGGGACCTCTTTTTCACAATTACCATTAAGTCTTCTCTTCCACTCAGATTGAGTTCTTTAAGTTTTAAAAAAAATATAGCAATGTATGTATTATTCATTAAAGCGTCAATATGCATTTTACATCTTTCAACTTCAAAGAACCATATAAATCAAAGAAAACAAAGGAACAATCATGAAAAACCATCTGACCTCATTCACCATTTCGATTTCTCTGAATGTCAGTCTGTCCAACCAGTCAACCTTTAACATTCGTCCCTTATGATGTTTCTTGCTTAGCTGTAAGCAAAGTTAATATAAAGTACAAAAGGATCAAAACAATTTCCAGGATTTCGATATTGTTGGTGTGAACATTAAAGTGATTCAAACTAACAATTCCTGGTCAAAATATTATTTATAATAGCAGAATTTCTAGTTTTAATTGATAATTAGGTAGCTGTATTGAAATGTCCTCAATTAGGAGAGGGTCTTATCCCTTGGCTAGATAGACTCAGCACTTTAATAAAGTTATTGCTGTTGTTATGAAGCTCTGTATTAACAAAGACACTGTCATGATTAAACTGATTAAGCTAGAAGAAGTTCCTAAATCTACACGAAGAAACTGATCTCTTAGAACAAGACCATGAACCACATGTGCACCTGCTTTGTTCGTTATTGTATTAGGACATCTCTTCAGCCTATGGCATATTATGGCAAACAATGTGTCACATTTAGTAAGCTTTCTCCATCATTTAATACCTTAGCTAATCTGCTCATCTGGTCTTCACCAGTTGTGGATTTTCCAGGAGTAGACGTTGGTTTTCCTCCATCAGCTTCCACACCTGGCCACACTTTAAGATCATGCATACCTCGACGCTGAGTCCTAGAACAACAATCAACATGTATCAAAAACACTTGTCATCATATTTATCACACATGCAGTAAACTAATTTCATTTTGTTGTTGCTTATTCCAGTTATCCAATAGCAGAGGCACTCAAGGCAATTAATTTTTGGAGTTTTTACAGCATCCAGTCACACACTAAGTGACATCTTAGGAATCAATGACGAATCATTCTTGACCTAAAACTTAGACACCTAGGTCCATGATTCAAGTCTTTCACTCCTGTATTACTTGATGTACCAGAAACATGTGCGCCTTCTACACTGTGCAATGTATGTGAAACTATATTCTAAATTCAGATTCATGTACAGTGTGTATGTGCAGTTACCCATGTTTTCCAAAGAGGGACACAGTAGTTCCGCCAACTGGGATGGCTTTTCTTGGTCCATACACATCCCAGATGGTAAAACACACCTGAGCATGGCGCGGTAAATCAGGATACTTTATAGGTAACTTAAGCCATTCATTCCAACTAGAAAAAAAAATCAAAATCACAAGAGGAAATTAATCATTTAGATTGGTATGCAGGTTAACATCATTGCATTGTGCACTTGTAGGAAAATTTAATTGTATATCGCATGCAATTCTCCCAGTCCACATATAGATTGAACAAATGGGTGCCAGGAGATCATAGGTGCAATCTGAAATGAACTAGCATATTCACAATCCAGTAAAGACTTGTAAATATGTGTCAGTAGTAATTTAACTCTATTACTACAAGTTGTTTCATAATGTGGACAACAGAAAGCAGACTTTCTTTTATTTCAATATTTAGTTAACATAGCAGACAAGATAAGGTGGCTTTTGATTAATAAAGGACTTTTTGGCACTTTCTAGACTTGATAGCAGGGAAGGAAAATTTAGCAACCTTGTTTCCTGGGTCTCTCTTCTTTCCACCCCTTGAAGAGAAGAGAGATCTTGGGAATGAGGCTGGAGAAAATTATGATCTTACCCTGAGAAAAAAGTACATTAATGATTATCTGTTTAATGTACAAAAACAGACAGATGGTGAATGGATCATAAATGGCTTTCAGAAGCGTTTAATGTTAATTTATAGACAATGCTTGAATGGCTTACTAGCATTTTCACCCAAGTAAGAACTGACCCATTTTTTGTACAGTTAAAATTATTAAGTTTCTATCCCAGTGATAGGGTGGAATTTTGCAGTGCTTGATACGGTTGAGGTTCACATACAACTTTCTTGGGTACAAGATTTCTATGTCTTCAACTTACTTCCATCTTGTACTGAAGGGTTTATATGATGTTCTTGTAGGTAGGCACAGTGGTTGACCATCGGCAAACACTTGGCAAGTTACATACAAGTCTGAACATTCACTAAAAATAAACATAATCAAGATCACTTTTAGCTTTTTTCATATTGCTGAACTCTGGGTTACCAAATCTTGTTGAGTACAAAGAATCTCAATATTTTATCCTTGACAAAGATGTGAAACTGCACGCCACTAAACGTTTCTCTACTGCATTTGTCTAGGTGAGACTTACATGTAATCAACAACATTGTTTAATGATTAGCTATACAAATAAATTGTTTGATAATAACTGCACTCTGACTTTGCAAAGAGAAAGTGGGGCAGGACACAGAGGGGTGAGGGTGGGGGCAGAAAAAAGACATGGAGGGGCACAGTGGAGAAAGAACTATAGAGAAAAGAGAGTTGATATTAAGGGAGAGTTTATCTTGGGCTATGGCCTCCACTGCTGCACTTGGCAGAGATCAGTAGACAAATTTGATTTCAGTGCCCAATTCCCTATAAGGAGGGTGATGAAGATATTTTAATTCATCTGGCTATGAAAAGAACTTGCTAATACATAGCTAACATACATGTACACGAAGGTCCTTGATTAGTATGTATGCCACAAGAGGACAAGAAAAATGACAACAACAACACAGAACTGGTTTAGTTATAAAAACTATGTAAACTATGTAATCGCATGTATTTCACCTCTCATAAGCTCCCGAGTATCTCAGTTGCGGATCATCTAACAGCTCCTTGTACCCTTTACGCTCTCTTTTTCCTTCTAATGTACATCTAAAAATATGCGCATTATGGTTATCCTTAGTTGCTGTGATGTCTTAATGATTTTACTAACTTAGTAAATCTAAATGTACATGATTTCATAATCGTATACAAGTTGTAGTGGGCAGTGAGATTATTCATCTCCAGGAGATGACTTGTCTAATAGAAGCAGTAAGAAACATTTGCACAAAGAGCTCGAGATACTGGTACCTCATGAACATCTTCAAGGATACAGAGGTGAATCATGAGGCATAGATCTGTCTCAGACAGGTAGCTGGAGGTTTCGCACCTAAACGAGTTCCCACCAAAAACATTTTTATTTCTTGTTCTCTAATCCCTTGACCTCTGAGCTAACAGACTAAAAATATATCAGACTTCATGGGAGCGAACTTGAAAAGCTGGGATGCACTTGAAAAAGGTGGAGGCAAACTTGAAATATACAGTCAGTTTATAATGAGTTCAGTGGTGTGAACTTGGTGGGTGCAAAATAGGTAGCATTCCTCAGGAACCTTTTGCTTCAGACTAGGTACGGGCAAGTGGGTTTTGTTGCTTGTGTAAATCACACCACTACCTAGAGAATCGACAAGCTTCCCCTGTTCAGTCACGAAGACATTTTATTCAGGAATGGTTGTCACTCAATCTACGCACATGTAAGTTTTACAAAGCGGACATTTTTATTTCTATCTTGAATAGGTGAGCTTATATACCTACCCACCCACTTGAGGCAAACGTGCAACTTGCTGTTTGGACGTTTACAACATATTGCAAATTAATTTTCCGATAAGATATTAAGGGTACAGTTAAAAACGACCCAGAAGCAAGGGTTAATTATCTTCCTGCCATCAGGGTGTTTGACAGATCAGAGTACTAAAGGGTTGCAATATTACCATGCCACCTCCAGTGAATCAAAAACAGTCAAAATGTCAACGATCTCGCGCGTTTTCCCAAAAAGCTGAAGTAAAACATTTCAATTCTTCCAACTTACACTTTAAGCTCAAGATTTGTGTCCAGGTCACAACTGTAAACATAGTAAAACTTTTCTTGGTTGGAGTTTGGATCCACCATGTTGTGTTGTTCCTGCCACCTGCGCCTGCGTATTGCGTTGATCGCGGTCTTTCTATGTTAATGTGCGCCAAAGTTGACTGCGCAATGGTATTTTCAACATGGCGGACGAATCGTGATGTTGTGTCGCAATAAGATTTATAATGATCAGCTGTAAACTTTAACAAAAATTAGCAAGTTTATAAATGACTCGTTTTGCTCGTGCTTCAAAGAAGGCAAGTCTGGAAGCAACGCCATGGCACGAGCTTGTGAATTCAGGTGAGAATTAATTTATACTGAGGCAAAAATAAANGCTTTGACATAAGGTAGAAGCCATACTGTTAATTGGTGTACAGAAGAGAGAGTGGCATCCAAGGGACTTCATCTGAAGCTTGCTACTTATTACTGGTCCTTGCACTCTACAGTTGTAGTGTTTACGTTAAGACACTCTGTCTTCTCCCTTATGTCCGTTTGTTAAAAAGGGGTTGTGCCGAGTTCACATTTTGGTTACTGGTGAATTTTATCCTGTTTCCAGGTGGGGGATGTAAAATTTGTGGATCAGTGGAACATTTCAGAAGAGACTGCCCTGAACTGCTACAGCAAAACAAAGGTAGAAAATACATTGCAAACACAAATACAGTTGTTTTGCTTGTTATAATTAATTTGATCCCTTTTGATGTGAGATCACCTGTAGAATTTTTATGCCAAACACAGGCTGGTACATGTGTATACATGTATACAAGTAGGCTTGTATGTTCAGTTAAATGCAACCAAACCTGACATGCTTTGCACAGGCGTAATGCACCCATCTTCTGTAAGGCTTCTGTAAGTGGAGGTCAGTTATCCTCAATTTTAGTGGGTGATCTTTTTGCTTTCTGTAGTTTCAGTGACCACTGCACATGCTCAATATATCAAAAATAAAAAGGGACATTTTAGTGCAGATGCTGAGCTGGAGGACCTTGGAGGAACATCTCACAGAGCACCAAAGAAAAAAGGACCTCAAGTTGTCAAGTTTTAATATTTATGCTGAAGGAAAATTTGTCTCTTGTTTACATGTACATACATTTGTTCTCCTTTATGTTTCTTGTGTGAAAATGTTGTCAGTATTTGGAAGGTTGTGTAATAGATGTCACAGTTAACGTGTAAAATTTACATTAAGCACAGTCATTTAGTCCAGTCAGCTGTCCATCCAATTAGTAGTTCTTACACTGTAAAATCACCTCTGCCTGTAGCTACTTCTTCTTTTCTTTGACAAATACCGGTAATTATCTTTTCCCTTGTACACCAATGTACTATCCTTGGTATATTCTAATTTGCCACCATCAGGTACATGTACAGAACTACATCAGTTCAAGAGCAATAATTTAGCATGTAATTCTTCATTCGATATGCAATATTCATTTTCAAGCAGACAGGTGATAAGATCAATGAAAAAATTGTCGTCGAAGAGATGTTACTGCCAAATTCTGTAAGCTGTCATTCAAAGAAGTGAACAATAGTTGGCAAGTAAACCAAGTATCAGTAAGTGGTTATGGAAAACGTGCCTTTAAATTAAACTTTGACCATCACAGACATGTTGAATATTGTTCTCCTAAAGGTTTTTCGTCAAGGCCAAGATAACACCATTGAAATCACTGTATTGTAAATAGATGCTTCGCAAATGGTTATGGTTAACCCTAATAAAAGTGGCTTTTTCTTGAACTCCTATTGCCTTAGCAGTAGCTGGAGATAAACACTCTATGTGAGTCATGCGTACATTGACTTGTAGAATACCCTTGGTCAGACACTGGCTTCAATTTACTGGCCGTGAGGAACATTTTACCTGCCTGTTTTTCCTATAAAGGTGTTCAGTTCAAAAAGTTTTGCCTGCTTGTGAAAATCTGTTGCCATTCTGCTGAAAACGTTAACGAAACCCCTCTATACAGACTATACAATATCCACTAGCACAAGCATTCAGCTGTACGTTGTTGAACATTATTATGATATTGCATAAACCTCAAGGTAGAATTAGGACATGTCCCAGCTGTGCTGTATGCAGATGCAAAGTAAATCTGAAGGGCCAAAACACTTCTGAGTCAGTTCAAACATTTATGTGTCCTTCAAGAAAGATATATCTTACAATGGTCTGGCACAGTTTGAAGTTACTGGCAAGTGCATTTGGGGGCGGAGGGTGGGGGAAGTGTTGGATTCAGAGAGCTTTCCTCTTTTGTTTCCAGCAGTGTATAAAAATGGGCAGGGATTTCTGAAAGGTTGGAAAACTGTCATTAATCTTAAAGGTATTGAAAAAGGATGCAGTGTGTCTGCTGTGGCTATGTGAAAGGGACGCTGTTCTTTTTGGAATGTTGATTGAAGGATTACATTTTCTGTCAAAACATGCTATTAATAACTAAAGGATGAGGACTTGAGATGTTGAGGTTACTCTTCAGCTGTCACTTAACTTGTACTAAATTAGTGTTGCACCATTAATTTCTTCAATTTCTCTTTTATTTACCCAAGTGCAAGCAAATTACATTACTTAGGTCAACAACCAGTATCCTAAACCCCATTGTTACCTGAGACAAGTAAATTACTTTTGTAAGCAAAGTACTTGACTTACATTACTAACCAGTATCCTAAACCCACCATTTAATATTTTACTTTTGCTTAATTTGATTGACAAAAAAAAAAATTGCTTTTTGTGTCTTGGAAAAAGACCACTATGGAAAAAGACCACTATGTTGTCATCTTGGAGAATGGCTGAGCTGTAAGGCAGCATTCAGTGGTTGACAAACCATTTCTGGCCAACTTGATCTGAACTATGTCCACGATCTATGTGCTCGCCCACGGTCCAGCGAGACATGTCTCGCAAGCCAGTTGTGGACACAATTGTGAACCACCAGTATGCACTGGGCTGGATCTTCATCTCATTCTGATTGGGTGCTGACTGCATGCTGACAGAGTTAAGAGCTTGGGCAGCCACGTGGTTTCCATCTGGAGACACAGCTAGGTTTTGTGCCTTGTATGCGTAGCCTTGCACCTCATCTCCCTGAACACAGCGTACATCTGCTCCAGCTCTGACAGCCTGTACCAGTGCATGTCGACATCCTTCAAGGACATTTCCTGATTTGCCATTTGACAAGACTTGCTCCCATGGTCTGGTGTCTATGAACCACTTCACTTTTAGCTGGTTTGTGGAATCGCCACGGTGTTTGTGCTCTCCCACGTTGTATCTTGTGGCACGAACAGTTCCTGTGGTGGAAACCATCAACCAATACCAATAGGCATTGTTGTGAAATGTAGTCAAACTCTTGCTGACATGTTTAAGGGCCTGAGCTGTGACATGACCATTACGTACAGAAAGATTGTCAGCCTCAGCAGTGTAATAGTTCCACTCTGGGATCTGAAAGCGAACACGATGACCAGACATTATGGATGATGTCAGCATGTAGCGTGATCCAGAAATTTGCCGTCCATTGCCATCGTGGAAAAAGACTTCCTTCCAGCATTCATCTGCAAACCACTCAACTGCCACAGTGTCCTGAGTGTGACCTCGTGACTGATGGATTCCAGCGGTCCAGCGTGACATGTCCCGCAATCCACGAGTAGTCACTATAGTGAACCACCAATAGGCATTACTTTGAAATTGTAAGAGGTTGTTGCCAGAGCTGGTGGTGCTTATGTGGTCTAAGGTTTGTCCAGTAACAAAGTTGACACCCTTACTGTTAATGGCGACATTCTGGAGAGGAAATGAGTAACTTTTATTGCTGATGCAGCGGATGTTGTTACCATTCTGGACACTGCTCTCCAGTTCAGTCAGGCTACCCTGCACTTTATAGCCACTGGCTAGGTGGGAGTATGTTGGTTTGGGGATGAAGCTGTGTATCTGTACGTACCATTTGATGCTTGTTTTCACACTGTTAGTTCCACGGTGATAGTTTGAGCCCACATTGTACCTGGTCATTTGCATCACTCCATTGGTTGACAAAAAAACCCACCACCAGTAAGCATTATCTTGAAACCTGTCCCATGATGCCTTGCTGACATGCTGCAGAAGCTGAGCAAACGCATGATTGCCAAACACATGCACATTGTCAGCTTCTGTACTGTAAGATGTTCCAATGATCACACGAACACGAGCCCCTGATAAAACAGCGGCCATCAGAGAATATTTGGAACCTGACAAGACATTCCCATTTGCATCATTGTGAAGTGCTAGTTTCCATGGTGACGAGCATGTGGTTTCTTTACAAGTAGAACCTGAAAGATAATGAAAACCAATATTATCATTATATCTTGTAGTAACCATGCATGTTGTGTTTGATCAATTTTACGGGCCATATGCTACTGTATGGCCTGGTATAATTTGAAGCTATTCCCGAATATCTTACTAACCTCATCTTCTTGGTCCGCATGGTAATTTACAGATCCTTGTTTTTCCCCAGGGCCATAAATCAAAAGGGAAAACTCAGTGTGTAACTTTTGGTATGGGCCTTGAACTTGCTCAGTAAGAGGTTTTAACTGAGTATTGCTGTATGAACTAATAAGGGAATTAATTGTTTTTCAAAAATGTTTTAAGTTACCAAACTATGTTGCTGTAAAGTTTAAATAATAGAGAAATTATTTTCATTATTTTATCTTTATAATGTCTTTTTCTAAAGAGTTCACTTTTCCAAATAGAGCACAGTTTTGCCTTATGACAGATCTATGAATAATTTTAACAATTTTGGATTTAACTGTTTTATAGTTCAAAAACTAGGAGGGCTCTGACCATTCATAAATTTAAAATTTTAAGAGTAGGATTAGTTTGCTTACACCTGATCGAGTTCACAACCTTTTTAACAGCCATGCAGAGTACATGAGCAAAACAAGGATCTCCTTTGTTTGGACATTGAATAGATAGATAGATAGATAAATTTAGTTATACACGGTTAAAACATCAGGCCTTAATTACAAAATAGATAATATGACGATTAAAAATGATTGTTGTGAGCAGTGGCCTTCATTTGTGCTTTCAAGTTGAACGCAGTTCAAGATGACTCTCTGGGAAATGAGTTTTTATATATGTTCTTGAAAGTGATCGCAGAGTGGATAGAAATACACATCGAAACTGTCTCTTGAAATTGTTCTTACCTTTAACACTTGCCCCTGAAAATCCACTAGTCAGTATCTGGACAATCGCAACTAGCAGGAGAAACATTCTCACGAGTTTCTTTATCGCAGTAGAGTAATGAACAGAGAACTTTCAAATTTACTCTGTGTTCAAGTAAGTGAGATGGATCATGTCTAACATTTTCGTCATGATGACCGATTTAGTTAAAAGCACGTTTATTCGTGTTTAAAGCAAACAGAGTAAGTTTGGTTGTAAATGTTTTCATTTACCCACTGGCTGTCGTACGGTCGTGCACAGCTCTAACTTTATTTCCGTCGAATGAACGTAGAACGTTTAACGATCCTCTCAATAGCTTCACGGTTGTGACGATAAATGTTGCCAACATCGAGAAACATGCGAACAATGGAAGAAAACTGAAAAAGAAAGGATCTGTTGAAGTTCAAATGAATCGCGTGACTTTTCATCGATCGTTTGCGCGACATGTGCCACGCGATCTCGGTAGTCACGCAAATACGGAATTTAATGGCTCACGCCCCGTCCACGCTGCGCCGGATAAGTTTGAAAACGCTGTTTTATTTCTCCGGTTAGGCCTACCGTCCACACTAATACAGACCGAAAACGGAGCTTTTTGAAAACACTCTTCAAATCGGAAGAATTTGAAAACGCCAGCTTGGTGTTTCAGTGTGGACGGAAAACATTTTGAAAACGGAGCTTTTCCAAAACGGTGACATCTTGATAATCATGTGATTAACCTTAAATCAAGCTTTTCTGCGGCTGGTGATTTTTGCTATTTGAAGAGTACTACCTCAGCAAAACTGACACACTGGTTGTAGGTGAAATTTGGGTGGCACGGGAGCAAGACTAGGGAGTTGGGGCCCCCCTCCTGGGGGAAATACAGATCAAGTGGTACCGGGGGTAGCC